GCAAGTGGAATAGACATGAAGTCAGCCCAAAGTGTAAATGGTTTTAAATCCAAGTTTAATACAAGCTGTGCTTCCCCCCCCCCCCATATCTTTGATAAAGGCCTTTGACGCGTTTAAAATCAATTTCACTGTCAGCCATTTCAGAATGCTTTCTTTACTTTGCTTTTGAATGCCTTTCTGTTTTTTGTTTATGAATGTGTTTTATTGTTGTCAACGTGTGTTCTTTTAATAATTCTTAGAAAGCTATTTTTTGTTGTTTTTGCGCTACCTTTGAATGTTTTTAGCTGTTTGTCAATGTTTTTACTTGCATTGTTTCTGTCCCTCACAGTGTCAAAAAAAAATGCTTTCTCATGACATCATTTTGAGGTCCAGCTCCTGCCCAGGAACTCATTACATTGTGTAGGTTGTTGTATGATGCACTGTATAATATATGCAACTGCCAGAAAGTTATTCTTTGTGTCTTTAATCCTTGTTCAATAAAGTTGATTCCAATACTGATTGTTAATTGTCACAAAATTGGACATCTGCTTTCAACTTTTCACAGTAGCAGTAACCAGGGAGTAGGACTGCTGCAGGGAATTGCCCCTTGTGCCCCACATGTGTGAGTGTGGTTTCACATGGAAGCACACAATGACAGGCCACGTACAGTCGTCCAAAGTCAAGCAAAGACAGGATATCTCTAAAATTGGACCTCTTCCTTATTTTTTTTTTCATGTGGGCTGCAGCAGGCCTGGCTCAGATCCCAACAAAGACCTCCCTGTCATTGTCACGCACACACACTAAAGGTTTAGCAGAGGAATACTACGACCAGGAGGGCTTTTGAGGCGATGCTTTGGAGAAACAGACAGCAGGGGGGGGAAAAAAATGAAAAGTTGTTTATGACAACGTTATTTTTTCAATGATAGTCTTCGGGCACGGACTCGCACATAAATGTGCGTAGAAAGACACACCACCACAACCACCGTCAGGCGCTTGCTGTCCCATTCATAAATTTCACCAAGGGTCTTTCTGAAATGGAGGGCCTACCCGCCCCCCCCCCCCTTACTACTCCGGCTGAGCAGGCCCATGTGGGAACAATTAGGCTTGTAGGCAAGTTTGGCAAAGGTCCGTAGCAACAGCTGCAGATGTTTTTATTTACCTTTTGCTCTGCTGCTGGATAATGTCACGAGCACATCTGCTACTGTGCAACGCAACTGCGGTTACATGCGTGGTTGACCCATAATTCTGTAATTACCCACCAAGCGAGATGAAGAGGCCCAGCAACCACTCAAAGCCACACGTTGCCTTCCTTCCCTTCTTCCTCGCTGTGGCCCTCCAGTGGCGTGAAGTGCTGTCTGCTGTGTCCAAAAGCCAAAAGTCTGCCACGGAGAGACAGACGCGAGCGGGAGAGCTGAGAGGACTACAGATGGCTACTCTGGCTACTCATTTGTCCCCAGCAGCAACTCACTGGATTTTGTTGTCATCATTAGTCAATAGGTGCTTAATTGCACATGCAATCAACTGCCTTTGATTTGGAATGAGCCGAGATAACAACGTGTCCGATTATATTCAATGTTTGTAGTCGCAATGGGCCCCATTGAATGGGCTGTCTGCGGGTTTGCAGGGACGTTTAAATTAGACGCTACAGTGTTTCACTCGACTCGGTTTGGAGAGCAAAAACAACCGCGGCCGAAACAAAGTGCAAGATCGAATGTAAACAGGAAATAATAAAATAATAGATTAATAAAACTTTTTTTTTAATAAAAATAAAAACAAAAACAGTCAGTGACAGTGCCAAGACGTTGCTTCGGTGTCTCCTCTGTGTGTCACAGTCCTTACATTGGCTGCCTGCTGTTCCACCAGCGGTCTGTTGGTGGTCTCAAAGTGGATGATGTCCCAGAAGAAGGACATCCATCAGTTTCAACACCTATTACCCTGAACAAGGTCGCGGGGGAGTTGCTGTCCCTACTGACTTCGAGCGGAAGGCAGACTTCACCCTGAACTGGACGCCAGTCACTCGCAGGTCACATGTCGAGACAAACGACCATTCACATCCACATCGTCACTGAATGGAACCGACCCGCGCTGCCCGCACATAAACTAGGCGAGTGTATCACTACTATACCATCAGCGACTTCGAAAGATGGACAGAAGAGCCGAATGCTACCGTCACATACACAACATCCGAGTTATACAAAAATGTTTGCTTCATTTTTTCTAATCGATATATTGAGGGAGAGAGAGAGAGAGAGAGAGAGAGAGAGAGAGAGAGAGAGAGAGAGAGAGAGAGAGAGAGGTGTCTTTTTTTTTTTTTTAAAAAAATTGTAGTTTTTCTCATAAATAACGCTAACACAATGATGGAATTGACCAAATGAATGCGGAGGACGGGCGCGCGCGCAGCGTGTACTTATGTTGGAAATTCTGGAAAATGGCATTGTTAAGCATCCTTCTATGGTAACCTCAAAGCGATCAAATGAAAAAAGGAATTGTTCGTAATGATGAGTAATTATCAGCATTGACAATGAAGACCATATATGGATCACTTCACAGAAGCAGTGTGCATGTGCGTAAGTGCGTGCGCGAGTGTGTGTGTGTGTGTGTGTGTGTGTGTGTGTGTGTGTGTGTGTGTGTGTGTGTGTGTGTGTGTGTGTGTTTGGGGGAGGGGCACCACTCTTTGCATCTCCCAGATGTGCAAACCATATGCTGTGACTGAAATTAAAACAAAATAGGAACACTGGAACATGAAAGGGATTTTTAACTTTGTAAAGAAAGTTAAGAGTCTCTACTGATAGGGTGATGGCCGAGAAGACGCCACATGAAAGAGGCGTAGATGGTGCTGTGCTTTTAGAACCTCTTATTCCTATTTCCTGCTCATAAGTTCACCGAGCAGATGGGGACCAAATACACAAGGAAGTTTAGATTTTCTGCCCCACGGCCGATTTTATATGATACATATAAGTGCGTAACACTGCAGTGTTATCATTTACAGATGCTTGAGTGCACACCAGGAGGTCACAACAACAATGGGGGAAAGGGGACCCCTAAGGGCAGAGCTTACACAGTTCGGGCATTAACTCCTGACATTTTGTGGATGATACCTTTATTTATAAATATACGGTACTGTATATGTAGAAGACAATGCAAACCAACGTATTGAGTAATGACACTTTCAATAAAGAAAATGTTCCTCTAAAGCGCATTTGTGATTTTCACAGTACGTGGGTAATCTAACCGTGGAATCTGAGTTCAGCAAAATTGAGCCAGTGTCGACTTTTAGGTGAAAACATGGTAAACTAAGTGGGTATGAAAAAAGGAAGCTTGTGCTTCGGACGAATCCGGGTTTTCCAAAACAAATACAATAGTGCCCTCTGTTGTTGTTTTAGTATATTGCATAAAGGCCACGGTTCAGGATGGCACTGAATTAGCGTATTAAAACTTAAATGGGACATTTTTAAGGTTTTTCCCCTTTTACCATTTTTTTGGAAATACGTCAGAACTAGGGGGAAGTTTGTGAGAACACAGCAGTTCCAATTTCAAAGACTTTCTAACTTGGACGTTCTCACATACGTTCTTTGGAACCTGTTACTTGCCAAGTTCACGAGACTGTACTCTGTATTCTTGATATTAAGAAATGGCTAATATCTGGCAACCAGAGAAGTTACGATGTAACTAGGCCCATTGTTTCGTAACCGTGGGGCAGAAGTTCAGAATGGTTCACTTACATGCAGACACATTTTCAGAAAAAGTCAGAAAATAACATATTTATTTGGTTGCTTAATTACACCCTTAAAGGGTGGGCAGGCACTCCAGAGACACTAAAGGTCCCAGCTACTTAAACAAGTAGTTTTCTTTTATTATTTATTTTGTAATTATTTCAGACATGACAATGTTGTTTTTATTCGTATATGTAATTATATATATATAAACATTTACAATGATCAGCAATCAAGAGCGTGGTGCCAGCGGGCACCAGGTAGCCCCCAAGGACCACATGAGTAGCCCGTTAGGCCTCTTCTAAAAATAAGTCGCCAGTGATGTGATTGTGATTTCCTAGGAATGTTGCAGATGATCATTTGAAAATGTAAACACCTGCAGAAATTTACTGAAATAGTATCGAAAAGTGTTGCATGTTGACCTTCATCAGTTCATGACCTTGCTAAATCGTTGTTGCTAAATTGTTGATAATTATTCATTTTTGTGAGAACTCACAATGCTCAGTGTCTTCGCAGGTAGATATTACACCCAAAATAGCAACTCAAATCTACAGTGGCTCTTTGCATTTTTGCACACTCCTGTGAAACAGTAATACCGCAAGGGTCGTTTCAGCTCCACTGTGTACATACTTAAACAATTGTCATTGATCAATATTCCACAGCACCAGACAGTTGAAGCGCTCAAGGACTTTCTGGATTATTGCACACTTGCAGTTGTATTACAATTATTGCTACAGTTTAATCTGTGTGAAAATGTTTAAAAATTAACAAAGAATGAGAAACATGTTTCTACATTGCTGTCCCTTAGTGTGTTATCTGAAGTTGACCTTGAATGAAAGGTTACTGTGACCATGTTGTGTGTGTGTGTGTGTGTGTGTGTGTGTGTGCGTGTGTGTGTGTGTGTGTGTGCGTGGTGTGTGTGTGTGTGCGCGCGTGTGTGTGTGTGTGTGTGTGTGTGTGTGTGTGTGCGCGCGCGCGCGCCCGTGAGTGTGCGCGCACTGCTTATTTGCTAATATTACATTGATGTTTATACATTATGTTATACAATTGTGGTTTGTAAAACATTTGATTCAAAGTCCCAAGAAGATTTTATAAAAACAAACTTACAATCGCACAGCGCCCAATCAGATTCTTTGATCCCTTTCACAAGGGGTCAAAACGGCTGTTAAACTTTACGATGAATCTTCTCGCTCGACCTAGCCACATCCAACATGGTAACGATGATGCCGCACAAATCTGTACTAACGCGGCATCTACGTTGTCTATATCCTTGTAAAATTCCACCAGACTCATTAGGATGACGTCAGCCCCAGCAGCCATTTTGTTAGCTAACTCCGGAGGTAGCCGGTGGCGCGTGTAGTTGCTAATTGCGTGCATTGTGCGTAGCAAAGCTTGAACTTCAGTTCCATCGCCGTTTTCCGAAATTTTATTTATACCCCAATCACAGTGATTTGACCGCAAGACCGTAGGTAAGAAGACTGCGTTTGTATTTGTTGACTGCGATTCCACAGCAAGAGTGGACGCTCATTCATTTTTCAAGCCCTGTCGAGTTTGCTAGCTTCGGTAGCTACAAAGGAGATAAGTGACGCCTTTCTTGGCCCTCGCAGCTGAAGAAAATCAAACGTTCGAGCATTCACAGTTGTACGAGTGTTGTCGTTCGGCAGTTTTTGCGTTTTAATTTGCTTCAGGGGGGAGCAAATTCGAACAGTGATCACAAACGCATTCTTTTGCGTGTGTAGCTTCCTCGTAGCGAGGTAGCATTAAGAGGCTTCAAGCTGGCTACCGGCCTTTCAGAGAACATGTCCGAGTTGTACATTCGGGTGGCCGAGGATGAGAACGAGGAGCCGATGGAGATCCCGTCGGAAGACGACGGCACGGTTCTGCTGTCGTCGGTTGCGGCCCAGTTTCCAGGGGCGTGCGGGCTCCGCTACAGAAACCCCGAATCCCAATGCATGCGCGGAGTTCGGCTTGTGGAGGGCGTCCTGCATGCTCCCGAGAGTGACTGGGGAAACCTGGTCTACGTTGTCAACTACCCCAAAGGTAAGGCCGCGTACATTACTTAACAGTGCTGGATTTCCCCAATACATCTTTATTTATTTACCGTTAATGACGATTATTTTAAAAAGGCCCCATGTAGTAAATCAACGCTTCTAAAGAACTTGTCGGAATGGTAAGTTGTTGTACTACACCTATTTACATTGTTTTTGATGTCAGACCAAAGCAGTAATGGATGCAAAAGCATTTCTTTGACATCAAACAACTATGTTGGACTGAGGGGGAAGTGCTTCATTTAGTCAGGCGTAGCTTTGACTCATGGGAAAGGGGCTTTCCCATCATTGTGCAGTAATTGCAGGTAGTTGCAAATTTTTGGGGGGTCGCTAGGTGTCAATTACACTCAGGTTTTATCTGTTCCTTATTTCCTATTCCTATAAATATGTGTATGAAGGTAAAATGAATACAGAGGTTAATTTTACCTTTTGCCATTTAGTGGAAGAGCGTTTTAGTTTTTCCGCCTGTCACTGTACCTAACTGGCTTGGATGAATCAAGGGGCATTGTTTCTCGTACAAACATATTTTTCAGATCATTGAAGTAAAACTGGGTCCTTTTTGGCAGCTGGTTGGGAATCGCAGGTCTGGATAAAGTCACAACATGAAGCACACTTGCTAATACAATAAACTTGTGTAGTAATACAGTTCACAACTCTTGTCATTTTAAAGCTGCCATTTTCCTTTTCTCACTAAATCACAGCCCGTTTCAATCGGCGCTAAGACAAAAAAAAGTTTTTTAATTGCCTTTAAAAACACATTTATATCATACATTTAATAATAACTACACATACAGTACATGTTCAAAGTGCCCTTTGCTGACTGAGTACTCTTGCTTGCGTCAAGGCAAAATTGCTGATGCACATCATATGTATTGCAGGTGTGTACGTTTGTCATTTATTGGTCCGCCGCGCTTGGTCATCCTCATAGCAACACGTCTTATTCTGCAGATAATAAAAGAAAGATGGAGGAAATAGATGCTGCCTCGGCTGTCAAAGTCAAAAGGGGTTATCAGAAGACATCAGACCTTATTGTTCTCGGCCTGCCGTGGAAAACCACAGAACAAGACCTGAAAGAATATTTCACCACATTTGGAGAGGTCATCATGGTACAGGTACTGCAGCCCATCCAACTCAATGTAACATGTGCAACACTGAGCTCAAATTTCAAGCTACAAAGTTGTTTTAATGGCCATTTTCACCCCAGTTTGTCAGAGTAAAACTACAGTAGGACACATCCGCTACGCAGAACTGCATAAACGACAACACATTTCCAGTGAAGATCCCCTTTAACTTTTGTCAAAAGGGGCAGACAGCGTGACACGGTTCCTGATTTTTTTTTTTTTTTTTTTTTTTTTGTGATGAGCTTCAGGCCATCAATAGATTTACACTATGTTGTCACATCACACCAATGAAATTACAGATTATGTAATGCATTAGCTCCAACACTCATGCTGAATGTTGGAGCGCATCATGAGAATTTTGATTTCATGACAAGAACTCTTCCCATTTTTCTTGTTGGTTTAACTGATTGATTTATTGAATATGGTTGATTGACAGGTTTTGCTATTTGACTTGGGGGTGGCTATGGGCAGCATGGGAAAAATGGGGAAATGGGTGGATGAAGGGCTGAGGCACAGGTAGAACACCAAGTATGGGACTAGCAAGCTTTTTTTTTTTTTTTTTGCTGCTCGTTATTTCCTTTACCCAATCATTTTTGTTGCACCACCGAGGGGCAAAATAAATTGCAGTTTCATTGTTTATATCTTACATGGGATTCCTACTTTTTTTCTGTTGGACAAGCATTGAGCAAAGCTATACTAGCCCAAAGTCACAAAAGCGTCAGTCGAAGGATTGCCAATACACTGAATAGTCGTCGGCCATTTGCGGTTGGAATGTGCTCGTGTGAGCGAGGGGTGGGCTGCCGGAAGAGAAAAATACGTGAGCGGAGCGATGCACGGCTGTTTAAAGAGCAATTGGGAGCGAAAAGAAGAATCTTGAGTTGAGTGAGCATTGGGAACAAGTGCCATAAATGCAGCCATCTCTGCGTTGCAACCCACTTTTGGTTTTTTTTTTTTTTTTTTGTCAACCAACTTCCACCATCGCTAGCAACAGGACAGGGTACAAAGTGTGGACATGGAGTGACATCCCCTCACCGTGCACCTCCTACTTCTCCCCCAACACATAAACTGGTTTCCAAGGAAACCAGAAATTCCAGGATGCCACTGCCTAATTGTTTGCATTCAGCATTTATCGAGGGGTTGATAACTCCTTCAAATCCTAAATATTTAAAGACCATGTTCACATACGCAAAACCCTAAATTTGTTTAAAAGCCAAAATAAGACCCCTGGCCGACCCCTTTTACCCGAATACTGGGTAAAAACAATCGGGTTAACGCTACACCTGCTCGAGCCGCCATTTGAGCGGTTTTCAAACTTTGATGTGTTCGTACTCTACGTATATAGATGAATGATGCTCCTCGCCTCTTGACTTTTCCTGATTCTGTAGTGTTTTTCTTTCTCTTGGTGCAATTTTATGGTATTGAATATAAAAATTGTCATTATTCCTTGAACTACTGCGCGCCCCTCAATTTGATGGCAGTACATGCCAGGCAGTCGAAATCAATCAAATAATGATCTTATGTGGTACTTGTTGACTTAATCCCCCCCGATTAAAAAAGTTGAGGCGTACGCTCAGGATGGAGTAGTTTTGCGTGCCGCGCTTCTGATTTGCTTTCCTTTCTTTGAAGCGAAGTCTTTTGCAACATGCCTTTCTTTTCTTCGGCGCCATACTGATAGACTTTTATAACAGATGACCCACACGCAATGCAAGAGCCGCAGGGGTCGATAGCCGCTCCACTAATGCGGAATTTGCCGGAAATAGACAAGCAGAGGTAAAACAATTATGACGAAAGTCAAGTGGATATGTCATCGATTTGCGTCATGACGTCCGCGCGTTGCCGTTTAAATCGGGTTATTCAAATACAGGAGTAACTATCCGCTCACACGTGTCATTCCGAATGTTGAAGAAATTGGAATTTTGTTCTTATCTTGAATATTACCAATATGTAAAGTTATTGCCATGTAGTGACTCCACCCCCAAGCTCACTGTTGATGTCGAACCCTTTAATGGCACCTTTTTTGTGGTTGTCTTCATCCACCAACCAGGAAATTGCCAAACAGACAAACATGAATATGCCGTTGCCCAATTTTAATTTGACTTGGCAGTTTGACTGAGTAACATTTTAACCATGTAGTGTTACTATACGCTCGTGGTTATTTCATTCTCAAGGCATTGAATTGATCGTAACTGGAGTGCTCCATTTCTCTTCGATATTTCCCCTCTCACCTGAGTAGGCTTCACCAGTTAATGCATCAAGGCTCGAATTAGTTGGTTTTGTCCCCCAACAATTTGTGCTCCAAGTTGGAGGCATGCCCCACCACCACGAATCGTTTCATTCTTCACGAATGCAAAATGACAGTTTGAGGCCTGCCGCTTGGGTGGAAACTCCATGAATATTCCATTCGTTTGTAAATGCAATTATTACAGCAGTTCCGAAATAACAAAGGAGTGCGCGGCCAAACACGTTTGCCCTGCTTTTGAACTTTCACTTTGGCAGTCGGGGGAGAGTTCTGGTGACCAAGGAACAACTTTTTGTCTGTTCCAGATCAAGAGGGATGCCAACACTGGCAACTCCAAAGGATTTGGCTTTGTGCGTTTCACTGAATATGAAACCCAGGTGAAAGTGATTTCTCAGAGACACATGATAGACGGACGATGGTGCGACTGCAAGCTCCCTAATTCAAAGGTATCAGTGAAACTTCCAAAAAAAAAAAAAGCCCACCAAGTGGAATGTTTACGACTAATGTGTGGATGTCATATGAATGCGCAGGCAGAATATTATGCTGTGAGGCTGAATAGCTGGGCAGCCATGTTTATTTACATTTTGTCTTGCTCGAATGGACGGACAGGTGTTTACTTTCACTGTTACCTATGCATGTGCTGGCCGGCCAGGCGTTCCCTGATGAACCCATGCGGAGTCGTAAAATCTTCGTGGGCCGCTGCACTGAGGACATGACCCCCGATGAGCTTCGGCAGTACTTCATGCAATACGGAGAAGTCACAGACGTCTTCATCCCCAAGCCGTTCCGGGCGTTCGCCTTTGTCACGTTCGCCGACGACCAGGTATGGCCGGCCGCCCGTCCAGAATGAGCATGCGAGCTCCACTCCTCCCCCACCCACCAAGGCCGGCATGACGCCCGTGCTGGTTTTGTGTCCTCAGGTGGCTCAGGCCCTGTGCGGAGAAGACCTGATCATCAAGGGTGTCAGCGTGCACATCTCCAACGCCGAGCCCAAACACAACAATAGTAGGCAAATGATGGAGCGAGGGCGCTTTGGGGCTGGCGGCTTCAGTCAGGCGTACGGCGCGAGTCGCGGCGGGCTGGGCGCGGGCGGCGGGGGGAAGGGCGGGGTCAACTTCAGCGCCCTGGGCCTCAACCCGGCCATGGTGGCGGCCGCCCAGGCGGCGCTGCAGAGCAGCTGGGGCATGATGGGCATGCTGGCCAACCAGCAGGGCATGAGCACGGCGGCGGGGGGCGCGGCCGCCACCACCCGGGATCAGACCTACGGCTCCACCAGCACCAGTTACAGCAGCCCCTCCACAGCCAGCCTGGGCTGGCCCGCGGGCACTAACTCGGCCTCGGGCAGCGGCTTCAGCTCTGGCTTTGGCGCCTCCATGGAGACCAAGTCTTCCAACTGGGGCATGTAAATATGTAGGCGGCGGTTACGTTGTTGTCCTGGGCCAGGGCTCGGGTCCCGCCGTCAAAAGTAGGAAAAGCGTTTAGTTGGAGATATTTGTCAGTTTAGCGTGGCCCTCGGAGACTGTACTGAAATTTCAAAGTTGCCCAGCCCTGGTCTAGGCTCATCTGGTAAGTACTATTAAAAAAAAAAAAAAATCATTATAAGAAGAAAGAAAAAAAACACTGCCTTTTTTTTGTTAACCAGTCGAAATGTGTTTGACACTAGTCAGCAGTGGTTTTAGTTAGCTACTTTTCCGAAAGTGACGTGCATGCACCGTTGTTTGTAAGCGTGCGCGAGTACCACCAGACCGCCAGTCCCTCTCAAGTGGGCTTGATATCCTTGTCTCGTGTATACATTGCATTTGTGTTTCATTTCTTTTGAAAACATTTTTTTCCCCTTCTGAACTGATCTGATGGAAACGCCTTGCCGACCGTCTCTCCTGCAGTTAACCAACTGTTTCGCACGCTCCCGGGAGGAAGCGCCTCACTGGCGGCAATGTTCTACAGATCTCAGTATCACGTGTAAACGCTTTGCCATCAACACCACACAAGCTTCACTCTGCATTTACTGTGCTCCACGGTGGGTGTCACCTTCTCATTTCCTCTCCCTTTGTCGTGGACTTCTTGTCTGAGATCGATGAGTGGAAATTGATGTGGAGCGAGCGAACGAACGAGTGCAACGTGAACGAAAGCACGAGTGAGCAGAGACTGCTTGGATTCTGTTTTTTTTTCTTTCTTTTTTTTTTTTTTTTTTCTTTTTTGGAAGGGACAAATGACAAATGCCTGCGAGAGTTGGAGGAAGCCGTGGCTTTTGTACGAGTGTTGTGTGTCATCACAAGGACATCATTTGCCAGCCCAAGTAGTCATTTTAGAAGGCAGTTCCAAGTGCTAAGACTTTGTATCCCTCTCAAGCTTTCCTCTTGATGTCCAGTTCAAACTGAATTGTGTGTCTGCCTGTGTGCTTTTTCTTTTCTGTGTTACCTAGGCAACCTCTGTGTGTGGACATTTGACTGCTGCTGTTTGAGCGTTTGAAAGTGTGCTGACGACATGACAAATGTTTGATATGCTCATATTGAAAGTTTGAGTTTTGAATGAGGGTTTTTTTCCCCCCGACCCCGCCCCCATCCCCTATGTTTTGTGATTTGAATCTGAAATAAAAGGAGAATTTGACTAGGTATGATGCACTCTTCACAGTGACTTCTTTCCCCCCCCCGTCCATTAATCGAACTGCCAACGCTTTAATTCACATGTATAGGGGCCCTCGGACACGGAACATCGGAACCAGGAGTCACTCACGGGGGGACTTGAAGACCGCGGAAGAACCCACAATGGAATTTCTACACGAATGCCTTAAATCCAGAGAAGGATCTTCATCTTCATCCCGCCCGCGAGGAACCTCGGACCCTCTAATGTTTAGTTGGCCCCACGTCACAATGACATCTTCCAAAACCTGTCCCATTTATTCTAGCAACAGGAAGGTGTGTTTTTCTTTTTGTTTCATTGTACAGTCCAATTTGGTGCGCACAAACTGAGCGCGTGAAAAGAATCACATGGACAACGGACACCATCTAGTCTTGTGGCAAAATAAATGCTTTTGAGTTGTTCACCTGTCGTCTGTCATTGGAGATGAAAAACAAATTTATTTTTACAACACTTTAAGTTCCCTTTATTCTGAGCCTGTTTTTTTGTGTCCACTTCCATTGCGTCATTCTTTATTTTGATATCGTTGCTGGTGACTCGGGTGTCTTTAGTGAGCATTTTGTGCGCTTGATGCTGGCTGCTTTGTAAACGTCCATGTCAGTTTCCTTTGAAATGCATTGCTTGATGTTTGTTTTGCGAAAACTAAAGTTTCAAGATGGAAATGTTCCCTTCCAGAAGATTAAATTTCAAACCTAATTATTGATTTATTTCATCATTTTCCCATCTTAACTGTAGTCCATCCCTTCGTGGATATGTGCATTGATGTTTGTTTAAACATATGAATTCTATTTCAGTAAATGTACCGTGACGTGTGTACTTTGGACGTCTTATTGTTGTCCCCCTCAAAAATTCTGGACAAAGGAAATGAGCATAGCCAAGGTTGGGGATGAAAACAAACGGTGGCGACACCTAGTGGAGAACTGAGACTTGACTATCCACCATTTTTAAATGAGTAATTTTATTGCGTGGGTGTTCACCGCACCGATTACCTTTGAAAACGTTTTGGGGAAAACATGATCAATAACAATATGCGAGGATTCCCGCCCCCAGAGACCAGTTTTTATTTCACGGCATTTACATCTAGACGTGTTAAAACAGCTTTGGGATGAGCACCTTATATTTGAAGTCGCCCATTTTTTCAAGTGGGCAAAAGTATTGGAACACGACTGTTTAAGTTGCTCAGGTGTTGCCTCTTAGATTGATTGATTTAAGCTTCGTGCTTGTTGTGGGATTTCGGCGTCATCTGTGAAATCCACATTTGCTGTTAAGCAAACACGAAGACCAGAGAGCTCTCTGTGGAAGACAAGCACACCATTTTGAAGCCGAGAGGAGAAAATCAATGAAAGCTATTGCGCAAAACACTGGGCATAGCCACTACAACAATTTGGAGTATTCTGAAGAAAAACAAAATACTGGTGTACTGAGCAAGCAACAGACATCGAACAGAAGGGTACCAACAGCAGGTGTTAACAGTAACATTGTGAGAGTTGTGAAGAAACACCCAAAGCTAGTCCGTGGCATCGCTGATAACCTCAACCAAAGTGATGTAAAGGCCAATGAATAGAGAAAAGCGTATCCTCCTCTGATCCAAAACATACAAGCTGATCTGCGAAGCGTGTCGAGGTAACGTCATGGTTTGAACTTGCATGGCTGCTTCTGGAATGGGCTCATGAAGTCTTCATTGATGATGTAACCCACGGTGGTAGCAATACAATGAATTCTGGTGTCTCCGAAAGGAGACCGCGAATGACAAGATATTGATAGCTTTGGGTTATTTGTTTACTTTGTAAACTCTAAAATTTCATAAAATTAAAATGATCTTTTTGCTCAGCTGAAACTCACGTGATCGCCTTGATTTCTGGTCACGTGATCGGACCGAGACGTAACGAACTAAACCTTATTCACGTTAATTTAATAAAGTATGTTCCAATACTTGGATGCTCTGTCCGGAATTGTTTAACACATCTCGCTGCAACAACAGCACCTGTGAACGTTATTCTCGTATTCATCTTTTGAGCTGAAAATTAAACGTCTTCGGTATACAACCAACACAAAAGAAATGACCTTGCCGTTCCAGTCATTTTGAAGGGGGCTGTACACATATTTAAGAATCACGTGGCCACTAAGGACAAAAATGTGTCGACTTGTGGTATAGCAGACTCCATCTCGCTTGGGCAGGCATGACAGTTGTGGAGGCAATTTCTTTGTCTCATTTTCAATCACTGTGGTCCGCTGACTGCCTTTTTTCTATTTACTGTCCTTCACACATGATTCAAGCCCGAAGTGATAGTTTGTTGCGCCCAAAATGTGGAATACACTAACAGTTGAACGAAGAGCAGGGAAAATATTTGTTTGGGCAGTGACCATTAGGACACACACACACACTTATATTTATTCGTAAGAGACAAGTGCACCGCAGTGCAGCAGATCATTAGGAACCGAGAAGCCTTCTGTTAGTTGTCCCCTCATTTCGAACTACACATAAACACTCGTGAATCCTGTGAGTAAGGAGCATACAAGCTAATTATAAAGGGATTGAAATCTTTATTTAGCCTAGTACAGTTCAGTGCAACGTTTTAGCTTAAATCCAGTGTTAATACTGGCGGACCCCGGCCTATGTCTGACAGTGTAGCGAAATGTATTCTACAGTTGGAATAAGAAGTGTCACAAAACGTTGCTGATATGAGTTTATGAGTTAAAATTATGTGGTATGGTGGAATGTGTAACATATCCTCTTTTGCACTCTGCGTTTGCTGCGTTCTTGTTTGAAGTGTACGCCGCCGTTCTCCTCGCTACGCGTTGTAGGAGGAAGACGAGACGTTTCCGCCGTGGCCCGTCCAGTTGGTGTGGATAAAGCGGCCCGGCTGGGACAGCAGCTCATATGTGTGAGCTCCGAAGTAATCTCTCTGAGCCTGAATGACAACAACAAAACAGCACTGACACAGGGCGCAGACCTACGCCGAGGCTTTTCAACTCTAATGAACCCATGGAGTCGAGCCATTACCTGGAGCAGGTTGGCAGGCAGCATCTCGTGCCTGTAGCCGTCATAGAAGGACAGAGCGGTGGTGAAGCAAGGCATGGGAATGCCGTGCTGGACGCCCGTGCTGACCGCTCGACGCCACGACTCCTAAAAATCAAATGCAAAATTGTGCTGTGATAACAGACTTCACCCAGAATTTTAAAAGTGGCGACCATGTCTGCTTATCACCACACGAAGAATATCTCTCCAGTCAAAACGACAGAAAAGCTGGTTCACACACTCATTAGATTGGACTCTTTTGGCACGATTTTTAACGGCGAACCACAATGCTGCCGCTTCAGCTGTTAATGGGACCAGGAAACTTGACCACATCACACCGCACCTAAAATCTCGACACTGTCTTCGGGAAGGCAAAAAATAGATTTGAAAGAAAAGAGTAGTCTGGTGTCAAGTTCGGGCTCGCACCCCAAAAGAAGAGAAGGTTCTAAACAGAGAAGGTTTTTGTCATGAGAGAAGGTTGACATATGAAAGAAAAGTCCTCATCCATAGTGAAGATTCTCGTTCAGAGAAAAGGTGTGACTCCCCAGAGAAGGTTCTAGTCCAAATAGATGATTCTAGTTGGGAGAGAAAGTTCTAGTCTTGAGACGCTACTAGTCTCCAGAGAAGGTTCTCATCGCAAAAGACTATCCTAGTCCAGGGACCTGGTTTCGGTCTTGAGAGAAGGAATTAGTCCTGAATGAAGGTCAAGTGCTGAGAGGTTTTTCGTCCCAAGGGAAGAGAGAAGGTTCAAGTCTCGAACCCGTGACGGGGAGAAAGTTAGAGACTAACGAATGTCGTCTGGTATGTTGCTGTGAAGCTAAATAAATGACAACGCTATGCTCCTACAGGACCAAATGCGGTCATATGGACTTCGTATCTGTGGGGCTAGCCAACTTAGTTAACCCATTAAGAATTCATGATATATTTCTGAATCATATTGCTATTTTTCACTTTCTCACAAACGTGCAAGATTGTGTGCTCAAAGAGAAAACATGACTGAAATTTGGGTTGGGAGTAATTGCTGCATTTAGTTTTGGAGAACTCTATCCCCAATCAAGTGAGTCAAGCGGCTCACATTTGAATAGTATGAAACGGTCAATCGAGCCAGAATGTCACGAGTTGCTTCACTTCACGCAAAAGTGGAAATTGCTGTCGTGCTTAGCACGCCGCTATTGCGTAATGGCGCTTCCTCATACCTGACACTGTTGCACAGCATCACTGAAGAAAGGGTCCAACAACAAGCTCTGCAGCTCAGCATCCCTGTCGAACGCCTCCTTGATTTTGCCGAGGAACACGCTGAAGGGAAGGAAACGCACGACTTTTAAGAATGAGGAAGTCTGGCCAGGTTCCTCGTTAGCATTATTCACGTCAGGTCCAGGAGTGCGACGCTCACCTGCGGATGATGCAACCCCCTCTCCACATCAGAGCGATGGCGCCGTAGTTGAGGGACCAGTCGAATTCTTTGGCGGCCTGGCGAAGCAGCATGAAGCCCTGCGCGTAGGAGATGATCTTGGAGGCGTACAAGGCCTGCAAATACACCACTTGGTTCATCACACCGGTCAACATATGTTGGCATTTTTTTTTCAAATCATTCAATTCAACATTTCTAGGTGTGGGTGTGTGTTGGGGGGGCTTTTGCATAAAGTTTTTGTGTGGTATCACTTATAGAAATTCGGGTCCAAAAACATCTTCAAATTAGAGTCAAACATGATTTCTCAACACCCCCCTTGGCAGTTTCGTTATGTCTCGCAGTCAGGGAAGCCTGTCTTCCGATTGGATGATGATAAGCTCACAGGGGAAATTCCCAGCTGTTTTCCCAAGCCAACGTGTCGCAACGTGTTTGATGTTTTCAATTGTCGTCTCTTTGCCCTTTGCCAAATGCGACTTAATTAGCACAAATGGAACATCGTTCATTAGAAGTGCTGAGTAGGCTGAAGAATAGGTCATGTAAGGTAGATTGATCCCCCCCCCCCCCCCCGTTCAAGGCGGTGACACAAACCTGGACAGAGAAACGACAAACGATTGGCGGTACCAACGTCGAAAGAACTGTGGCTGCCCAAGCCGGTGAGTAAAAGACACTTCATATGAAATGACAGTAAAATATTCCATAATATTAAACAGAGTCCCAAATTGGAAATCACAGCACAGAACGAAGCAAATGGGATTTGGATGCATTGAACGCAAAGGCCGATCCCATTTATTTTTGTATTGGAGAATGATCAAACTATCAACCATTTTCTCCCAGACTTTGGCCTCAATTCAACTTTGCTCACCAAATAAAATGTCCAGGGACGGCTCGGTGGGCGAGTGGTTAGCGCATCGACCTCACAGTGCAGAGGTACCAGGTTCAATTCCAGCTCCGGCCTCCCTGTGTGGAGGTTGCATGTTCTCCCCGGGCCTGCGTGGGTTTTCTCCGGGTACTCCAGTTTCCTCCCACATCCCAAAAACATGCATGGCAGGTTGAGTGGGCACTTGAAATTGTCCCTAGGTCTGAGTGTGAGCACGGATGGTTGTTCGTCTCTGTGCGCCCTGCAATTGCCTGGCAGGTTGTCCCCCGCCTACTGCCCGAAGACGGCTGGGATAGGCTCCAGCACCCCGCGCGACCCTTGTGAGGATGAGCTGATCGGAAAATGAATGAATGAATGAATGAATGAATGAACAAAGACAACATTCACTTTTCACACTAATGGAGAGTGACCAGCAGAACATTGACCTGCTCTTCCACTAGATGGCAGAAGGTACATTTACACCTGCTGCCCATCATCCAACTGAGTTGATCTTGTGATCACCAGTTCCTGTTTTACTAACTGAATATATTCTGTGTGTGACATTTTTCTTTGGTGGTGTGAAGTGATATTTACTTTGTCGACTCTTTTCCTTTCTAAGTCTGCTTCCGTTTTTCAAATCTTCAACGATACAAATTCAAATACTGTCGTAGGAAAAAAAGTGGGGGGGGGGGGTTGCTATTGCAATCAAGTGTGCAAGTTGGAGAAGGGTGTGTATGTAAAAAGTGTGTGTGTGCTCGTGTGTGGTTGCGCATGTGCCTTCGCGCGTGTGTCATTCAAGCCCAATTGCAGAAGTATTTTCTCTTGGAAGTTCAAACTGCGTTATAAGCTAATTCCATAAGAATGACTTAGAATTCCCCCAAATATATATTAAGTACTACTAATTGAATATTACATCAGATTTATTATTTTTTATTGTGGTTGCAGTGTACTGCAAAATGAGTTCTGCTCTTCCTCATATTTTCGAGTTCATCAAAATACTTGCCTCAACTCTTAAAAGTGAGAACTACAACCACAATAGTAAAACTATTTACAAATACGAATTATGAATATTGTTGATGCATGCAATGATTTACAAGCTCATGTAAAGTAATCCAGACGTAAAAAAAAAGTGAATTTAAGCTTGCAGACTTGAATTAGCTTTGTAACTTTTGTTTTTCGGTTCGGTGTGGCGTGCTGCCACAACAGCGTGCGTGCTTTGCGCTTGGGTCTACCTTCCTAATGTCCTCCAAGAAGGCGGCCTTGTCACCACTGAACGCGACTCCCGCCGGGCCCATCAGGGTGCGGCTGGCCTCCACCCTCTCGTCTTTCAGGGAGGACAGACACCGGGCGAAGACGGCCTCTCCTGAGAAGACGAGAATGCAAGACAGTGTCGAGTGCGTGTCCACAACTCGGCCCACGCGAGGAAGTTCTTTCCATTTCCCGTCAACTTGCAAAACAGGCTATTGAGGAAGCAGGAGATGAAGGCAGAAAGTGTGCCGCAATACCGTCGCTTACGTCAACTTCGAATCACTTGTGTCCAACGGAAAGCGCTTGAAGTCGCTTCAAGGCTTCAACAAAACACTCTGTCTGATGCGTAAGCAGATGCGGACAGAGACTGCAGCCGTGTCCACACAAAAGGCCCAAAACGATTCTTATCCATGACAAAATTCTCAGTTTCAGTGCTTTTTTTTATCTTTAGGCTGCAAATCACACAAACGGTGACTAAAGATTGTGTTCAATTAATATAATTGATTTGGTTGTTTTACATTTTGAAAATGACTCATACAACTGAACTTATCTGTCAAGTCCAATAACCCAGAATGTATCAATAACCCAAATTTTGGGCTATTTTTGCTGTTTTATGTATTGGTTGATCAAACTCAAGGGTGAAGTGCTAAACTTAAAAAAAAAAAAAAAAACAACAAAATCAAACAACAGTTTTTGCATTTGAGCTTGTAAGTTTGACATTGATGACTAACTCCTCTCCCCGTAGACATCTTGCATTTACATGTGGAGATATTTTTTTTTCTCTCTTTTTAGAAAAGAATCCTGTGTGTCGGCAAAGGTGGATTGTAACCTGTGCACACTGAACGATCACAGTGAGGAATGTCGACACTCGCGGCGCAAAAAGCCAACCCTGCAAACTGCAGCCGCATGTTGACCAGCGAGCTCAGCTTTTCACACAATCAGTCCTTGTTGTACCGCCGTTGCCGCAGCTGTTCTCTCTTTCACTAAAATCACGCACGGGCACGTACTGCTGAACGCCAAGCGACAGCGTTGTTTTTGTAGTACAGCACGCCATACGGCATAGGTATGGATTGTGAAAGGAAACCAGTCTGTTGGTGCTTCACAAACTAATCAATCCATTAATCATTTGGCTACGTCGATTCACTTCCAATTTGGAAAATCCTCGGAATTTCAGCCTCTCAGAAAGTAAGCATTCTTCGATTTCTGTGGCCCTCCATGCTAGCAAACGGATTATTTTTGTGTTTCGTCAATTTGCAAGCATCTGCTTTTACTTTGGAAAAACAATGGGCAGCGTTTTGCTTTTTACTATTTCACAGAGCAAATCATCGTTTGCACATTTTCCCGCACGATAAATTTGAAATGATCTCGTTTTTTTTTTTTTTTTTTAAATAAAAAATAGCAATCAACACTGACTGTTGAGTGATTGCCACATAATTACCATTGAAAGAAAAATTAAAAAATCTCATACAGCACAGTGTAATCCGCATGTGCCTGTTTCTAAACCTACGACTTACAATTTAGTTGCATTATAAGGTGCTACTATGGCACTGATTAGCGGTGCTGAAAATTGCAACTGGTACAACGCAGACTTGAATGGGATCAGTCTCGCTCTGATAGAACTGAACAAGAAGATACCGTTTTTTGTTCTGTGAAACAATTGGTAAGTTTGAAGAAGAAGGAAAAAAATGTCAACTCCCAAGTGAATGGTGACATCATTTCATGTTATCTTCCACTATCTGAATATACTGTGTGTATCTCCAGTGCTTTTTTAAATTTTAAATACGGTATTGTTTTCATAAAGCTTACAGAGGGTCTTTCTGCTGCAGAAATGGAGGCACAAAGGCTGGTGTTCATGAGGTCAATGAATAAGACTACAATTATCCCTGCGAACAGCCTTTTCGATACATCCTGGAAAAACATGAAACTCAAAAAAAAAAAAATAAATAAATAAATAATAAATAAAAAAGTTAAGTATTTCTTTCTTTTGAGCCTTCCGTCTCTTTGTATTCTCCAACAGAGCAACCGCAGCCAAGCAATCGGCTTTTTGACAACGGCGCTATATTGTTTGGGGTTCAAGAAAATAATGTAGGGGGCCGCATCAACCAGTTTTCACGAGTGGGTCAATTTCTTTTTTTTTTTCTGTTGCAGAGTTGGTAGGGTGTGAGGGTGAGTATGTCATACGTTTATGATTGTCTCGTGCAGTTTCGTTACGTCATTGTGTGTGCGGCTGGCTAAAACTTCCGACTTCCTGATTTTTTGAATTGCGTGTTGAAAGAGATGTGACAAGACACATTAGGCAATGACTCAGCAGCTTAATGAAAAAAGGAAAGGAACTATTTCCTTACCGATCAAAGTCACGGGCGTGCCGTACTCCAGCGCTGAAATAGCAGTCCACTTCCCTGTGCCTTTCTGTCCCGCACTGTCGCGGATCTTGGGCAACAGGTGCGTCCCGTCGGCATCTCGATACTTGAGGATGTTGGCGGTGATCTCGATCAGAAACGAGTCCAACTCGGTCTTGTTCCACTCGTTAAAAGCCTGAGAGGTTGAAAAGACAACGGGCAGTTGCGGTCGACCGGTGGTGACCGGTAGCGTTGCAGTCACACGCGAAAGCTCACCTTGGCCATCTCGTCGTGGTCCATCCCGAGCACATCCTTCATCAGGTGATAAGCCTCGCAAATCAGCTGCATGTCGCCATACTCGATGCCATTGTGGACCATTTTGACAAAATGACCCGCGCCCTCGTCTCCCACCTGCGCGGGGGAAAGAGTGTCGCATCACCACAAAGGCGGCCACGCACGCCGCATCACAAAAGTCAAGTCGAGAGACTCACCCAATCGCAGCACGGCTCTCCTGTTCCCACCTTGGCAGCGATGCTCTGGAAGATTTCTTTGATGTGAGGCCTTTGAAAAGGAAGAGTAACAAGTGAGGATGGAGCAAATGAGAATCATAGCAAATTTGACCAACACTGCCAGTTTCCGAACGGTCAGTGTGAACCAGTGCACGCTCAGAAAATATTTCCAAACGTCTCACCAGGCGTCTGAATGTCCTCCGGGCATGAGTGAGGGTCCGTAGCGTGCCCCCTCCTCGCCACCGCTGACTCCGCTGCCCACAAACAGCAAGTTCTTCTCTTTCAAACTCTTACAGCGCCGCTGTGTGACGCGAAAGCAGAGAGGCGCTCAGAGAAAAGCCTCAGATGAACGTTCACCACAACGTCATGTTCCTTACAGTCGTGTCTCTGTATTCAGAGTTGCCACCGTCGATGATAATATCTCCAGCCTCAAGGAGGGGAACCTGACACGAGGACAAGAACAGAACGAAATGAGCAAAAAAAAGCAGGGTTCAGGGACTGTGAAACGAGGGCGAACACCAACCAGCTTGTCGATGAAGTCGTCCACCGCCTGTCCGGCCTTGACCAGCAAGATGATCCTCCTGGGCTTCTTCAGCTTGGACACCATGTCCTCGAGTGACTCGGCGCCAATCACCTTGGATCCCTTTGCCTCTTTCTGCAGGAAGTCATGCACCTTGGACACAGTGCGGTTGTAGGCACAAACCTATTCAACAGACATCAAAAGACATTTATTTCCAATGGTGGCAAGTATTTTTTCGTGTCGATTTATCTATTTTTCCAATGTTTTCCATTTGAAAATAATATCTGTACTTTACACTACTTGTTTGGTTAAAATGGGCATTTTAGTAAGTTTTTTTTCATTGTCCCAGGTTATCAGAACTGGTATTTTATATTACTTTTTACTTTTGCACTCAAGCATATTTCAGAGTCTCTACCCAGTTCTGACTTTTACTTTTATGGGAGACTTTTTTTTTTTTTTTAGTATCTGTACTTCTATTTAAGTAATGAGAGTGAACACATTTGCTACCTTCGATAATTCAATTCATCCTTATGTAGTAGGCATCTGCAGTAGGTGTCAGAAAGACTTGATAATAACTTACAACAAAGCCATGGTCATTCATGTTCATGATGAGGTTCTGGCCCATGACAGCCAAACCGATGAGTGCGATGTCTGCTCTGTGAGAAGAAACAAACATGAACAACATGGGCCTTAAGTAAATTTCATTATGCATTAAAATGGAAAGAAAATACTTTATTGGCAGACTCACATCTCAACAAAAAAAGGGAAAAAAAAGAAAGCGTTCTCTAAAAAATAGATGTAATATGTGTCGTCTAAATGTATGACAAGGAAGTGGATTCCCTAAATCTCATCTCACATGTACTCCGACACTGACTAGCAAACAAGCTAAGCTTTAAATGCTCATTATTTAAAGTAACATGAAAAAGCCTAGAAAGTCACGAAAAATTACATATATATCACTACAGCGTAATTGGCTTCCCCGTAAACGGTGGAAAGAGTGCACATAACTTACTCAGGCATTGTGTTGAGTCTCGACGTTACCGTAAGATTTCCAAATGACAGACGGTCCTCTTCCTCGTTCTCGCCTCAGGTTCGTGGCTCCACCCCACCCAGACTATTAGCCAATCAAAGACCCTCACAACGCTGAAATCAGGCCACCACGAGAACTATGATTGGTCCAGAATGCTGAGCAGAGATATCCAGTCTGTTATTGGTCAAGTCTGCCGTCACTCATTATATGTCATTCATTGCGTAAACGAAGAGTTGATAAATTGAAGCGAGTCTTATGATACAACTGCATTATTGTTTTTTATTTCAAGCTAGCCATATTTGTTTAACAACTAGTTTACTATTGAGTGATGATTTACCACGTTCAGGTATTTTCAGCAGCAAATCGAAGCATAAAAAAAAAACGTGATGATGCATCAACAGCACAATAATGGTCTTTTTCAGTCAATATCCACATCTCTCTATCTTACCATTACAGCCGGCCTTTGTATTATTTATAACTCGAAGGAAAAGTCTGGAAGGATGCATCCCATGACTGTTTATAGTTTTAATTCTGTCTGGAGGGATTATTACGGTACTTAAATCACCAAATCTCTTTAGTTTTTCCAGTTACATCTTGGTATTTGACAGTTTAACACATTTCTATTACCGGTAATAGCTCTGGAAATGACTTGCACTAAAACAGCTAGGTGTCAATGTTGAACAGTCCTTAAATAGTGGGGCGCCCCATCCCCCCAGGATTGTGGGTCACATGTGACCCCAGGAAACATTTTTTTCTTTTTTGCCATACAAGAATTAAGTGTAATTGCACATCCATTGGAGTAGGTGGCAGTGGTGTGCTCAATTATTATTTTTTTTATTTTGGTGAGATGCAGAGGTGTGCTTATAACAATTTTATCGACAATTTATTGTCATGGTGGAGAGTTCGGAGAGTGCAAAATTTTCTTCTTCCTAGTGGGGCGTTAACAGAAAATAATTGAGAAGCACTGAGTTAAAAGGACTTAAAGGTTGCGTTTTGCGCATGAAAGGATATTTCAAGCTGGTCTGAGTCCAGCATTTTTTTTTTTTTGTCATAAATTAAATGACAATGTTACTGAGATGACACAGGGTGTAAATTTTCACATTTTTAGTCGCCACTGCTGGTGAATGTCAATTGTAGAGCATATTCTACTAAGAACAGGCAGAATATGTGACTCAGTTACGGTTCTCAAAACGTTTGGCTCCAGGGACCCTTTACAGGGCAGAATATTTTCCACAGACCAAGGAATTTTTTTTTTAAACGTTTTGACCTAAATAGTCAAGACCCTTTTATTACTCCCAATATTTTATATCTTGCCTTACCCATACAGCTCTACATGAGATGAGTGTGTCGTTTTTTTGTGATATGTCACAATCATATCAGAGCTTTTAATTAAATTATAGCTGATAAGTGTGAGTAGCCCACATCTTGGGGTATGCACTTCTTAAAAATGATGATGTCATCATTTATTACAAACCATCCTTTAGAAAACCTACGGTACAATCAAACAGGCAGCACCCGGAACAAGACAAACAGGCCTCACAAGTTCTTGCCAGTTTGCACTTTTATTGTTTCCTCATTCACTAGACAGACCAATGGTGCAGGTTTACCATACACAGTGATTAGGATATCTGCATGACACATCTATGCTATACAGCGAATGGGTTATAATTATTACAAATACAGTAAACATATTTACATTTTTAATTCAAGCTCCGTACGACACAGATATTTACAAAATAAGCAATGGAAAACGAAAACGAGTCATGTACAATGTTAATGTTTGCCTTTTCAAGTTGAAACTTTTGGTGACTCCAAAGGGTTAACTGATCCTCATTGTTCTGTTTCGAAAGGCATCAACGGAAACGTGTCGAGGTGAAGAAAGAAGCACAAACAATAACGGATTAGTCATTTTAGACACCATGAGCTACTTCGTATTATAATCCCTGATATAAGATAAAATAAAAACCGACGAGGGTTAGAATTTACATGGCTGGCTAGTATGAGTAGAGCGTGAATATGCTTGCACTCACAGGCAGACTTTCACTTGAATCCCTTTCTAAAGAAAGAAAAAAAAAAAGGAGCACCAAATACCGCCAACTGCCCCCTACAAGGAACAACAAGCTTCATTTTGGTACTTTTTTTTTTTTTTTAACCCCCATCACGAGTGAACTAGACATACACACATCTTCACGGAACATTCCATTCCCACGCCACTTCATTTGGTTCAAGAGCAACTAAACCGTGCAGATTTTGATCCGTTAGTTGAACTTTTTTTTTCTTAATATGTGCAAAGAACTGCAAACTAATATGTACATTGCAAACCATAAATAGACACTCCAAAGTATGAGAAATCTGTAAATTAGCCACACGGGTGGAAAATATCTGCTCTGGCAAAAAATATATTTAAATAAGGAATGCAAAAATATCTCCCGAAGAAGTGAAAACGAATACAAAAAAAAAAAACATCTCAAAAGTCATCAGACATAATTTGTTGACCAGCAGGGTGGCTGACCTGAGGAAAAAAAAAAATGTTGCTGATGACGTTTGAGATTGCGTCAAGTCGATTGGGAGCAAATAAAAGCAGTCTTGGTGCCTCTGTTCACCTTCATTCCATGTAAATGTTTTCATCTCGTACACAGGGGGAAAACCTCTGGTTGGCTGGCCAGAGTTTTAAAAAAATTCACCCATCTGTACCAATCACATAACGGTCACACTTCACAATAGAGGCATTAAAATGATTTGAGCGGGAGCTCGGTGGAGCCAATGATGCACAGAGCAACTATTTTCCGAAAACAATAGCATGAATTAAAAGGATTTGTTTAGTTTCGTCCCTTGAAAATATTTTCTTTCAAATAACCCTTTTGTGTAACAGCCATCCAGTGTAACCTTGATATGTGCATTTCGACCCTTGTCTTGCTATAGTGTACACATGCCAAAAAAAAAAAACAACAAACAAAACATATCAGGTTAAAACACCAATGAAGCCGACTCAAAAATAGTAACAAATGCCCTGCCACATTTCATATAAAACCTCCTTATTAAATTATTAAAAGTGGAACACAAAACAGGTTAACAGCAACAAAAACAAGCAGACTGCGAAAGGGAAAAGGAAGAGAACATATGGCGCTGACAGTGTGATGACCTTGAGTGGATATCGAATGCGAGCAGCTTCATCCATTCAATGCTGCGCCTTCCTTCATCTTCACAACCATGAAAAGCATGCGCAGAGCCAAAAGGGCTCGAGTCGGTGTGGGTGCAACAGGAGTGGGGAACCTTTTTCCTATCAGGGGCCATTTCGAGTGAAAACGTTTTTTACCATTATATATTATTAGTAGTTGTGCGTGACATGATTTCGATATATATATACTGCGGATCTGTCTCTACATATATTTTTATACAGTTTCTCTGAGGTTTTGCCTGCGTTTAGAATTACACAAAGGGGGGAAATGCTCTCATGGGCCGTATTGGTTCCCCACGCCTGGAGTAGACGTTAAAACATCCAAAGCTCATCTTCCTGTATGTCTCGCTCATGTGAGGAATCAGATCTGAACCCATTCACAGAGAGTTTGCCCTACAGCGGAGTTATCGACATGGGGATGTGGCTACACAGCACGGCGTGGAGAAAGTCCATCGCTGTCGTCACTCAGATGAGAGCCTAAAGACGCAGTTTGTTATGTAGGTTTGTTTTCTAAAGGCCATTTGGGAGCCGCCTCTTACGTTTGGACGAGGCGGAAACCTGAAGCAACTCTTCTAAAAAAAGACTACGTTAGCAGCAAATGTTCTTCAACGCGTGTTGCTTTGCGTAAAGCAGACGCATCCCTTGGAGATAATACATTTTCCCCGTCACGATTTAATCCCATTATTTTGTTAGTGCTTCAATAAGCAAAGTGGGTGTTCTCCTGAGGACTGCTGCGGTTAAGTACAGAAAAAAAAAAAACAAAAAACAAAACTGAATCAAAACCGGGTGACAATAACACCGGGAGACATTTTCACAGATGATTGGCAAACAGAAAATGAGTGGCTAGAGAAACATTTTCAGCAGAAACGTGCACACGATTGGACTATCACGACATGCTACTCGCTAGAGACGCGAATGAGAGCGAAGCAAGGACAAAATTAGACCTTGTCGTGAATAAACCAAAACGCAAAAAGCTGAGCAGGAAGGGGGTAGGGGGAGACAGAAATCGCAAGAGAGGAGATGTTAAGCCACAAGTCTACTTACAAGAGAAAACTGTCAAGAATCACAATCGATTAATAGGTATTAACACTTGGTATGTTCAAAGGCGTTTCGAAAGAATATAGCTTGTGGTGTCCACTTCAGTTCTTGATGTGGCCACTACGCCTTCTCGCCAGCTTGGACCTGTTGGGGGAAACACGGTGAACAAAGCAGATCTTTGAGCAACGGCGCTTTCATTCGAAAATCAAGGGTGAAAGAGAGAAAAAAAAAGAAAGTGTCAAGTGTAACCTTATCGTTCCGGCAAGCAGAGGGTTAAAGGCGTACAGCCAGTCGTTCATGTCTTTCTCATTGTTGGCCTGCAGGAGGATTCCTCGGTGCTTTGTGCACACAGCAAATGTGTTGGGTGTCTAACAAGAAAAGAATATTCTTTTGAAAAGTTTTGTCTTGAAGTCAGTAGGTTCTCAAGAGAGAAAAAAAAAAAAACTTTTGTCATGCAAGGCTCAAAATAAGAGGTTTGGGATTCAAGTTTGCCAGGCGAAATTAGCATTTTGCGGCTCAACAAAACTGAGTGAATACCAAAATTGAGAATCAACTGCTGAGACGGTCGCAAAAAGCTTCGCTGGGCTGGGCTGCACGCACACACATCACCCACCAGAGGTGGCATACCTTGAGCATGGCCTGCTGGTCTTCACTGTATTCCACTTGCGCTGTGGAAAGGTTAAGGACCCCCCGCTCCACCGGGTCCTTGTCGCTGTTGTAGATGAAGACGTAAGGCCGCCGCACGACCACAAAGTGCTTCACCCACGAGTTGGAGCGAGGCTCCATGAAGCTTAGGAAACCCTTCTTTGACACGACAGATCTAATTGGGAGGGAAAGTGCAAGTTGAAGTTGTCGGATTTGTTGCATGAGTGATTTGTGAATCTGCGACGTATCACTTCACATAAATTTCATATTTAGTCAGGTGCGCGCAGCAGCTCTCACCCTGGCCTCATTTCTTCGATATCAGGCACCAAGTTGAGGAATTCGTTCTTCCCCGCACGTGCCAGGTAGGAAGCCTCCAGGGTGGGAACCATGGGGAAGTTTTCATAGTCTGAGCAGGATGGGCTGGACGCACGGGAACAGTTCTCTGGAGTTCTTGGGGAGAAATACACAATTTAAAAAAAAAGGCTTGCAATGTAATTAGGAACGTAAACATGACCCTGACTTGAATGGAGGTTATGCAAATGACCAAAAAAAAAAAAAACACTGGCCAAGGTCAGCTAACTGAAGACTGAATGACGGATTTACTTCTGTTCTACAGAGCCACAGCGGGAGTCTGAGAGCGAGGGGCAGGTGGAGGAGGGCGTGAGTGTGGCGCTGCTGAAGCTGGTCACCGACAGGTCACGTCCCATGGGGGAGATGTCGGAGAGCTGACAGGAGAGATGGACATTGACGACGGCGTATACAGCGCGACATCGGTCTTGTGAGGCGAGAGTGGGCTCAACCTTGCAGTCGCTGATGCTGTTCACCAACTGGTTGTACTCGCTGTTGAATGTGTGAGTCAGGAGGCGGAGGCACTACAGCGGAACCAAAGTGACAATCATCAGCTCACAGCACATTAACAGAGGAACATCTGGTGAATGGCTTGGCCAACTTGAGTGAACCGTGATGAAAAAAACAACAACATTTGGACAGTGCGCAAACACTGGCAAGCCTTTGCCGCTCAATGAGATGCCTCGCTAAAAAGTTTGCTGTGAATAGAACACTTAAACCGACAACACTGACAAGTGGAGTGAGGGTCCTTGTACTGGCAAACTTGGTCCTTGAATTCAGAACCTTGCTCATATTTCTTATTAAGTTTCATAAAGGTAGATTTACTTTCAACGATTTATAGCAGGGGTGTCAAACTCATTTTTGTCAGGGGCCACATTATAATTACCGTTTCCCTCGGAGGGCCGTTATGACTGAAACTACATAAAGAAGTCAAGAATAACGTTTTTTTCAATTATTGAGGGGTTTGGTAGCAAGAAAATGCTTACAATAAGTCACTGATTTATTAAATATGAAAATGTGAAATTTTGGTACAGATTTTAGCAAGCATCATGGACGTTGTCATGTTTGATTTGCTTGTGAGGGCCACTTAAAATTGTGTGGCGGGCCACATCTGGCCCCCGGGCCTTCAGTTTGACACGAGTGATTTATCCTTTTGGGTAATTGTTAGAATCATCAGGAATCTAACATTCATTGGAATAATGACATTGTAGAAAATGAGAAGTATCAAAATATATTCTGCCATCAAAAATAATGCAAAAAAATTTTTGTCAGCCTTCTCATAGTACATATCCCATAATGTCTCATATTTGGGAATTTTCTGTCACCTTCGTGGCCAGCTCCTTCTCGCGATCAACCAGGCTCTCGATGTCGGCGGAGTCGTAGCCGCTGCTCTCACTGGGCGTGATGGCGCTCTCAAAGGTGGTACTGGAGATCTGCGAGGAGATGGAAGTGGAGGTGGACAAGGTGCCCGAGCTCATGCTTGGAGACAGCAACTCGCTGAGGGATTTGCTGGCTGGCGCCGATCCCACGGGAGCCGACTCTCCCAGTTTGTCCCTCAGTAGGAGGAGGTGGCGGGTCTTCTCCACCTAGACGAGTAGAAGAAGAAATGAGCGCGATTCAAAAACCCTCACGGCATATAGAATTTATTTCCTCAGCTCGCATGTGAATTTGATTTGTACAGTACCTCATGCAGCTGCTCCATTTTCTCCAGCTCCCATTGATGCTCCAGGATGAGACTGTCTCCTCTGGGCCTCCAACCTGCCAGGTTCTCCTCGCCACGCACGTAGGCCACTGATGTGTCCAAAACCTTCCGCCTCCGGCGCTGCATGCCTGCAAAGCATGACCGCAACTCTCCCGTGAGACGATATACTTTTTACTTCAACCTCATCATGTCACAAAGCTCACCTGGACTTCCAGAATCGGACATCTTGCACAAACTCAACTCATAGATTCCGGTAACACGGTTGCTGTGAATAAAAAGAGCAGAGAATTCAAAAGACTGAATGTCACGTAACCAAGTATTTTTTGTGGTCCTCAAATGTTTACCATCGAGGGGAAATTTTTTCAAGGACCCTGATTGCCCGTAATACTTTTGGCACTTAACACAATTATTTTTTTTTGAACAAGTCAAGCTAAATAGCTGCGACCTGTTTGACTGAAAGCCAACCATCAATTCAATGTAATTAAATGTAATTTGTCCATCGTTGTTAGCTGACTAGCTCTGCTTCCACTAACAATATGGCTGCAAAATGAGCAGTGCCAGTTTACAAAAGCTAAGTCTGTGTTGCTAACTTAGCGTTTTGGCCACTATACCGTATTTATTTGACGAGAGACTTCAAACACAGCAAAGAAACAGACAGCACGGGTGGAATCCATTTCACCTTGGATTCTGAATGATAAAAAGGGCTCCCTTTTTATCGTGAAAGGTAATCATGGAGTCAATCGTGCTAAAACATTTCCAAAGACACGGTGTTATTTGTTTAAAAATCATTTTGTCAAGTTCACCTTGTCTCACCTGTACAATTCCACATGAGAAAAGCACATGGAAGTGCTACAGATGCTACTTGCATGCAGAGATGTCAGATCTTTGTCATACTGTCCATCACAATCACATTAGTGCATTTAATTGGTCCAAAGCTAAGGGTGAAAGGATTCATTGGTTTTGTATGCTTGATTTATTAGTGTACTAAATTCTATCCCCCTCCCTAAGTTATCCCTGGGGATCCCCGGATCCCAGTTCGAGAACCACTCGATAGTCATAGTAAAGTGACCTGCAGCCTTACCAGTCTGGGGTTTTAGAATACCCACTCCCGAAAAGATTCCTGAGGGAACGGGGAGGTGAGATCTTTGCATCTCGAGAGTAAAAGACCATGCAGATGTCTTTGGTGATAATAGCGGGTTGGATGCAATGGTCAAGCTGCGAAGAGGACACGCAGGGCACATTAAAAAAAAAAAAAGGTAAATATGCAGATGATTTCACACAGAGGAGCGGCAGCAGACCTCCAGATATGCCGAGAGAGTCATGTAGATCTTCTCTCCGTAAGGAGTAACCCGGTTTAGTAGGAGGGAGTTGTGCAGGGAGCTGTCCCACACTGCCTCGAAGCGGTAGAAGGTCCTGCGGGAAACCAAAAACAATAAGCACAAATCGTGAGGACAACGGCCCTTCATTTAGTCAGTGCTTTGCAAAAAAAAAAAAAAAAAAAAGTGACGGGGTAAGGTTGTGAACTCTCAAAAATCAAAGTCAAAGGGAGCTACTAAGGGGAGTGTCATATTGGGAGTTGTAACCTATAGAACTTGACATTGACATGATGCAGTGAAGTGTAACTCACATGTTTCTCAAGTCATAACATGATGTAGGAAATGCACTGAGCCTAAAGCTCGACTACAGAACATGACAAAGCAATACAGTGCTATAAAGTGGAGCAAGCTTTCCGGAGTGACTGATGGCACGAGACCTGGGCTGATTCCCCTTTTTGAACTTAACCGTAGTTTTAAAAAGTCCACTAATGCTGGCTGTCAATAGGAATGAGCTCTTCTCTTTTTTGAGGGAACAACATCTAACTAAGCAGGGCACCATATGAGTGGCTTTTTTTTTAAGTTAATTGCCTCCCATTAACTGTTTTTTCCTCATTCTCAGCAAGCAGTTACGCAGAGAGGAGGAGGGAGGGAGGATGTCTAGACACGGATACCTTTATGCTCTGATTATTGTATACTTCCCTTTGAAGAAAAAAGTGCCAGCAGGTACAAGTTAGCCCCACAGACAACATAAGTAGCCCATGGGTCTGTTCTAAAAATAGATCCCCGGTGATAGGACACTATTACTAAGAATTAAAAAAATAAAAAAATCAAACACAAATTTATGTGTGTATTTATTTAAACTTAACATAGTAACCCTTTCTTCTGAAATAAAAGGGCGAAAAAGTTTCCCCTTTCGCGGTTTATGCATTTTTCTTATGCAAGGCAATTTCAATTGTAAACACTCGTCTTCCAAGAAAGCGTTTGTTTTCTTTTGACTTATTTGTCACGATTGGCAGAAGGGGGTGCTGTTGTGCACAGACAGAAGTCATCTGCCCACCACATGATAGCAACTGGTGTAGCTTACTCGCCTTTGCTTAGAAGGCAAAGGCTGCAAATTGAAACTACGCAAAGGTTTTTATCCCCAAAGATTCGCGAACAGATAAGATTTCATAACGCGTCAAGACACACACATGCACAACTGCCTCACGAGTCTCAAATTAGGAGTGTAAATAATTTGCAATCTTGGTGCAAGTGTGCTTTGAAGTGAGAATGACAAAAAAATAAAATAAAATGAATACACAGAAGGTTTGAATTTGCACATGATCACCTATACTTGAGTATACCTTGCGTGGCCAAAAATAAGTCACCGCCAAGGCAGAACAACCTCTGTTTGCTTATGAGAGGAATGACAAAATTCTGTCATGTGGTTGGGAAACTCTATATTCATCCTGATAGTAGATTTCGGACAGAAATGAGTGAAACTCTTTGTACAGATACATGTGGAAAATAATATCATTAGGAATGTATGTGACTTATTATCAGAGTGTCTTATTTGACCTTTGGCCAGGCAGAGTATATTATAATAGTTTCCCTGTTCAGTGGACGATAATTACAAATAAAGGCAACATACAATGAAGAACACAGACTATTTACGAACTGAATTTCTATCACGCTATCGGACTACAGAGAAGCATAAAGTTCTTCCGGAGAAGGAACCTTATGTTCCGCAGTCACTAGTACCTATCAATATCCTTATCAATAGACAGCCTGAGCACAATCAAGAGTCCAGCAGCAGCGGGAGGGACAAATGCACAGAAGAAAAAAAAAAAGAGAAGCAGAAAGAGTCAAGCAACAATGGAGCAAATTCAATGGCCATGCGATGATTCTAAAACATACACCTGGAGACAATGACACGCATACTGTTTTACAATACATTGTGAATACAGAATTACATCTCAGTATGAGATGAGAACATGATACAAGAGAAGAACTTCTGAGTACGGTAGTTTTTTTTTTTTTGTAATAAAAGCTTTCTGTATTGAATTTACCTGTTCGAGTTGTGGGAAGATTTGATGTTCTTGGCAGAGATGATGTTAAGGGACAAAACGGCATCAGCCGCGCCATCGTCCACTTCAGCCTTGTTCCGAATGCGACCTGGTGGGACACAGAATGATCCGGCGGATCAAATTCACCAGTCTCCCAAAATCTATGAGGGATTTCGTACGGGCAGGATGCTACGTTGTATCAAATTAGCAGGTTTTTTTTTTTTTTTTTTTTAAATCTTTAAAACACTGACAAGTAGAAACTGCACTGGTATGTTTTTGCATTTGCATTTTCCATTGAATAACTGTCAATCTCTGATGCACTGCTCACTCACCAACAACCAGCTCGCGAACATCTTTCCAGTGCAGCTCGCTACCCTTTTCGTGGATTAAAGTCACAGTGATCCGCCGCTGGATTCCCTACAGTGTAACATGACAGCAGCTTAGGATCAGTAGCTATTATTGAAAACATTCATGATTTTTATGACCATTTAAATTAGTGTCAGCTGAAACTGTGCCGTGAGACACCGTCGAGTTGAACGGAAATGAAGAAGGAAAACTTAGTACCTGGTGCAACAGGTATGTGCCGTGGCAAAGCAGTGCTCCACTGTGATCCACTATAGCTGGAATGTACCTGTGAAGGAACACATTGAGCTCAGACAGTCAGATATTAAACATCAAAAAGGCAGGTAACGGCAAAACTAAAATTGTGAAGTCTGAATACAAATTAGAAAATCATGGTAAGTATCGGTAAGACCGCATTGTCCCTAAAGAGGGCACATCTGTGTCAGTGTCCACTGCACTGATGTCTTCGGTGCTCATCAACACCTACATTAAGCTCAACAGTCACCTTTCAGAGGAAACTTTGATTCCCTCGAAATAAAAGAGGAGTCTCACAATTTATTCTTTTTAAAGCATGTCTAATTAACGGCATTAGTCTCTGTGTATAAATATAATTTGAACGTGCAGAAACTCACTCTCCTGTGGGCTCCAGCTCGCTGATCTCAAACCAGACGAGTAGGTCGTATTTGCTGACACACTGGCCCAGGTTGGACTTGGTGATTGTATTCAACTTGGTGGCTGGGACTGATACATAAACAAAATGAACATTAGGCCAATATAAAAAAAGGGTAGAATGAAACTACAGTCGGCCTAACAACCTTTTAGGGTTGGGAATGATAGGTTAATGTGAATGTAAAATGCATGTGCTGTCAAAAGAGACACTGGGCCTTTATCTTTGGGCTGCCGCACACTGCACAATGCTTACGACCACGAAGACGTCCAGAACATGGCAAAAATATGACAAGTGGTCACTCATCAAAGCTTGTGGCAGACCCTGCACGCCGCGCGAGTGTTCAGCGGAGGTACGCCGCATCGCTCAGTATGCTGAAGCAATAAAACTAACCAAATACAGTAGAACACATATTTGACATCCAACTCCATCAGACTTGCTATGATGAGCTCAATGAAAGATTATTTCACTGTTGACAGGATCCGGATGAAAAACAAGCCGCTTCCTCGAATTCCAGCGTGGCGTTTCGTCCTATCAACAGCAGCTGCTCTGCATCGTATAAAGGCTTGCATTCATTAAGTTTCAGGATGCAGCAAATGCAACAGGCTGGACTGCGGTTGGAACCTGGGGTCATTAGCAAACAACAGGAGTGAGGGAGGGGACTAAAGCAAGGTACATGACACATCACACCACTGTGCAGAGACTCATCGTGCTATCGCCTGCAGTGACAATCGGAGAAAAGCACAGCGCTAGTCTAATCACCACATACAGACGAACCTAGTGCCTGCAATGAAAGCTATTTCACTGCCCGCTGTACCAACCATGGTGCCTGGGCACAACAAACACGTGGTCGTCAAGCACTGAGAGGAAAGGGAAGTGCGACAGCTGGTCGGCTTCGTCCTCCAGGCTGGCCACAGCGGAGGAGGCCAAGGCATTGGCGTGCTCGGACAGAGTGTCCAGCACCTTGCCGTTCACATAGCCACTCATCAGGTAGCGGAGCAACTCGATCTTACGAGTATGGTCTGGGGTCGCAATGTATCACGTGATGAGTGCGGCCCAAAAATAAAATAAAAATCCAATCGTAGCGAGAGATGAAAGACAATTGGAAGGAAACAAGAAGCATGCTGATAAGACGAACGAGAACAAACGTGAGAGGTTGCGATGCATGATGACAGGGAAGTAAAAGCCTTACCAGGTTTAGACAGTGGCATTGGAATAGGATAGTACTTCCTGGATGGTGTCGGAGGACTGTGGGAAGATACGGGAAGGATTTGACACCAATGCAAACACCCTCGAAAAGCACATTTTAGTTGAGTACAACCGATCCAAATCATGATTTCACATTACTTCCTTGTGACGCACCTGATGAGGTCCTGGCCATGGAGATGCAGCGGGTGCTGCTGGTAGTGGCCAAACACTTCAAACACGATGGGCTTGGTCTTGATATACTCAATGAAGGACTCTGTCACCTCAACGGAAATCTGCTCAGGAAGAAAAGAGAGAGAGAGAGAGAGAGAGAGAGAGAGAGAGAGACACGTCAATGAAAATGGGTGGGGCGCTGACTGGTTCAGATGTATACATGAACACAGTGATACACCTACGTTTTGCACATGATAAAAACCCAGAGGAGCGCCTTTGCCGGTGTTTTTCAAGGGCTCGGTGGAAAAGGCTTCATCGTGGCGATGCAGGAAACTTTGGGGGAAAAAAAAAAGAAAAGATATGTCAGTGCATCACTTGCAAAGGACTGCTGGACCTTTCCCTCTTTTCATTTACAACCGAGACCTTGTCTTTCAAGACAACTCAATGGTCCAGGGATAACAATTTGACACATCTGGCAAGTACACATTTAAAAGTTAAAACGGATCGCCTATATGTCAGCATATCTTATATTGTACAGGTATGTTCGATTGATGCTCTGTCTCTGCAGCTATGAGCATCTCCCGATGCAAACAGCCCTCTACGACGGTGCTTCCTCACGCCAGCACAACTATAACTGCTTGCACACCTTAGACGAGGGGTGTGAGATAGCCAGTGGAGTTGCGGATAAGACACTGCGGGGCGAGTGGTAGTGTTTATTTTATATTAAAAGTGCTATATAAATAAAAGTCTTGATTGATTGTTGCACTAATCTCTCAATGTGATTCTACCGTATTGGGTAAACTTCATTCGTCATAAAATTGAGGACTCACTTAAACTGGCAGAAAATATCAGCATATTCTGATGGGATGCCGGTGGTCTGGAGCACGGTCACGCGGAAGGTGAAGGTGCTGCCTATCTCCAACTGGCCCGGTAGACTGTCACCACAAGGCTGTTTGGTTTCTGCGGTGTTTACCAGCTTGAGGTCTGAAAGAGGAAGGCCATGGTTTGTGCTTGGGGGGGTCACTGGAAATGACCCGTCAGAATTTGAATCTGCATCAACGGTGTCACCTTAAAGCAATAAAGTTTAGCCACTGAACAAAGCTCATGATTTGTAGCGCAGACGAGTACTTTTGGTTTATCAAAACCACTTTTGTACACATTCCCAGAATACGCAAGCCTCCTTTCCATAGGTCCAGTTTTGCATTCAAAAGGACCATCTGTCAAGCAGTAAAAAGTCCTGGCAGCCATACATACCCATGTCGTTGATTCTGTTGAGCTCCTCTAAGGGGGTGATGACCTCTGAACTTTGACCCTGGCCCTCCACAATGCGCAGCTCTTCCAGGGACAAACCAGAGTGGGTCATACCAGTGGATGGGAAGTCATTCTGACGGAACGAAAAGAGAAGAGGGGTTAACATTTAGCAGAAATCGCTATTTCTCCGACTACCTTTTTAAGAACAGAAAGCCATTAAGAAACACTGTGTAGATGTCAAAACAGTCCAGTCTCATCAGGGTGTTTACAAAGATATTATTCTGACGACATCTGTAGACTCTTACTCAGCACAGATGTGTCTTCATCGTTTTCATCTGACGCCCGACTTACTTTTTTGAAGTAGTCATCGTCAAAGGATATCTTGGCGGTTCCCGATTGCCTTACTCCAGACCCGTAGTCTGGGGCCTCCTCATCAGCTAGAGAGACACAAATACAAAATGTAATCAAGCAGAAAGCAGCACGAGTACACATGCAGGCTTTGTAGAGATGCTCCTTAATTACTCACCAGCTATGGCCTGAACCCCAACACGCAGAAAACCTCGCACGTCTCCTTTCTCTGTTACTATGGCAACACGGTGGACCAGTGGGACGGGGTACAGCAGGTTGCTCAGGTACACAAAAGCTCTACAAGTGGAAATGAAAGAATAAACGTTAGGTCTTTCGCAGTGCTGCATGTTAAATGTATTTCATTTAACTAATTGTAATCTTAAGAATTCTTCATGATTACTGTAGCTACACAGTGACATTTTACACTATTTAGAATGAAAACTATGTTAAAAAAAAGACCTGGCAAAAAGCCTGAACACCGTTTCACTACCCATTTATTATCACAATATGACAGAGGGGTGATATAGCAGGGAAGTTTGCAAAAAAGTGGTTTATTGTGCCATGTTCCTCTTGCACAGGCTGACATTTTGTTTCTGCGAACATTATTTGCTGTCCTGCTTCCCCGGTGGCCCACGCTATCTCCACCGCCTCCATTTCTCTCATCTTTTTCCTAGCAGGGACTCTCGAGACCAGTGGCAGAGGAGTGATATCATTCTGGAGTACCCCTGAAGTCACGGTGACACAGATTGTCCGCGGTGCTCTGAGATTGGCACGTTGTGTCATTACACTGTGTCTGTTCCCAACTGTGCTACTGCGGTTAATGACATTACATCTAGAACGGCAAAAAACTTTTGAAATGACTGATAAATAAAACCCTCGGTTAATATCTACAACATGAACACAAACAATGTTAAAACAAACAATAAATAAAACATGAGAACCTTCAGTGAAATAGGATTAAGGAGATTAATCAAACAAAATGACAAACATCATTAACAGGTGGGAGTTAAGACATTAAGTCAATGTTACCATGGTGACAAGGAATGACACGTCACAGTGGGGGTTGGGGGGGGTGGAGAGAGAAAAGGATGGGTGGCTTTTCACTTCCAATGAAAAGCAAATCTTGCACAGCAGGCTGGAGCGGCGTGACTAATCACATTTCATTTCGACCACACAGATTCAAGTTGCGACGAATGGCATCTGAAACGATTTTGCGACAATTGGGTAGTGGGGGGAGGCCTCGAGTATGATTCGTTGTCACTTTTTAAAATGTTGGTCTGAAATGGCATACTTTCATTCTATGGCCTTTTTCCCCTCCCTTAAACCCGAGCAATATTCGACCGAACCAAAGGAGCAAGCTTCCTCGAGTGCTGTGTTACGCCCACGTGTGCGTTGTATGGGAAAGCCACCTCCAGTCACCAACCTTCCCACCAGGATGAACCAGGGGGAGCGGTCATAGAAGGGGTCCTGGCCATCGCTGAAGATATCCGAGCCCTCCTCCGTGCCGGCGTCCGAGCTGGTGTCGTCGACAAACGCCTCGTCGTCCATCAAGTCGGACATCTCGCTCTGGCGCTCGTCCGCCAGCTCGGTGATTTCAGAGTCGGTGGTGGAGAAGGTGGGCGAGGGCGTGCGTTCGGTCAGATGCTCATTTACGCAACCGTGGAAGATGGGGGAGCTGAGAGATGAGTTGTACGGGAACATTGGCACCAAGCAAAATCAAGTCACAACGAAAGAAACAAATAGCTGATTCATGAAGGCCATTGATATTTTTAAAAGCAGAATGAAATTTGAATAAACAAATACCATTCACACAATTATTAGATTTTAATATTTGCTCCTCCCATCAATCTGCGAATTCTTCCTGCACACAGTGGCACAAATTGACCGCTTTAATTGAATGAAGCGATACTACAAGCGGGGACAGTACCACAAAAGAAAAAAAAAAGTGTTTTTCTTTTCATTGTCACTAACCCTTATTTATGGTGTCTGAAAGAGGAGCAAATTGCTGGCATCAGGCCGAAGCCTTCTCTGTCTCAATTTGGTCATTTTCATATTTTTTTTCACAAAGCTATACTACTGGTCAGACCACACATTTGGGTTTCATTTTTTTAATTTTTTTTTATTACAAATTATAGACTAAGTGTTGAAAATGGCTAACAGCTTTTTTTGACGATTAACTGTTCATGGCTGAACTAACATGCTGTTTTTGAGGTCTCCTGAAAAGTGAGGATTTTGGAGGTAGGAGGATTCTGCCCGATGCCAGCGAAATAGAAATTTGCGCACGTCGCTATATTTTCAATTTTTATTTAACACGAGGTAGCAGTTACATCAACTTGACAAAGGAAAATAAAAGAGTAAGTGATGTAAAAGGAAAATACAATGACAACGTCAAAATAAAAATAAAGACATTGGTCAAATGAATAAACCATGAGTAATGACATGAAATACCAAACAGCAAACAAAACAATGCCTCTTTGTGAAAAAAAAAAACAAAAATTGATGATGAATTGAAAATAAATGCATACAGTGAGTTTCAGTGAGAATGACAATGGTGAAACAAGGATCTCACTACACATTCAGGGAAACAAAAAAAGGTAGCCCCGTCAAACAAATGAAAACTTTGACAAAAGAAAATGATGGGGACACCTTTAAGATAAAGGGATGCCAAAAGTCGACGGTGAAATAAATGGCCACAAACACATAACTCATCTCTTCATTTGAAGTCAACATTTGGGCCAAAAAGCTCATGAGGGTTGAATATTTAAGGTATGTGGATGTATTTTCCTGCACTTTTACATACCTCCCCACGAGCTTAAACCAATGGAAGCGATCATAGAAGGGGTCATTTCCAGTCAGAGTGCCTTCCCCACAGTCCTCCTGGTGCGTGGAAGCCATTTCTCCGGCCCGGTCATACATCTCCCTCATCTGGTCCAGACGCTGCCTGTGTAATGATAAGAAGATAAAGAATATATATTTCTGAGCAGAACTTACCAAAGCGAGTTCACGGTGTGTCACGGTGATTACTTGAGTTTCTCGAGGGACCAGTAGTGTGTGGCTCCATTCTTCAGGTCTTGGACCTCAACGGCCACCACCGTGCGAGGGAAAGGCCTGGAGTCACGCTCTTTTTCAGGTTCGGGTGGTAAGAGCTCCGGGGGCACGGGCGAGTACAGGGTGTCCGTCAGTAAAACGAACTGGAACTGGACCTGAAGGAAGGAAGATGGCAAACATAGATCTTCAACGCATGTGCTGAAAAGAGGTGCAGTTTTTTTTTGTTTTTTTTTTTGCAAGAGTGCAATCAGCTACAGAAGCTATACCAGGAGAAGCATCCCGTATCGGTATTGAAAGTGATTGCCACTGTCACGCTGATATTTTCAGGCATGTAATTATTTTGTGTATGTGAAGCCGCTATTGCTGTACGATCGCGTACCTCCCACACGGCAACGGATCCATTTGGAAAGTTTGTTTGAAATGGCCTCGTGAAAAATCCCAGCTATATAGTCATACCTCTCATTAGCCACTTTGTCATGAACAGAGAGTATTCCTCAAGGTCTCCGGGAAATACACTCATCCAATTAAAGTGGCTATGTCCGCGGTCAATCATTTAGCACCTTGAAAACGACAAGCATACCACTTAGACCGGCCTCCGAATGACTAAGTCAAGCATTTGATTTGCGGCAAGTCAAATTTCTCAATCCCAGATGATTTAAACGACCATACATGGCAATTTTCCGCGGATCCGCGGAAATA